CAGGTGTGAATGCTGATCACTAACAGCAGGTGTGAATGCTGATCACTAACAGCAGGTGTGAACAGCCTGTCAGTGTCATTTCACTTTAATTTGGCATTTTGTCATAAACTCAGACAGACAGAAGGTAGAAATCATCCTTAGCACCAAAGTTTCAGCAACAAACAGAACAAGTTACAAGATTACTTATAAATATAAGTCAAGGTGGGAGGAGCTTATGTGGACGGGGCTGATGTTTGCAGCTGCATTCGCAGACGTCAATAAATATTTTCAGAAACGCCGTTCAGGTTTGTATTCTAAGTTACAACTTACCAAAATATTAAAGTTGCTTAAGAAAATGTGTCGCTCTAAAGGAGCCCGTCGTGTAAAAATACGTTTGGCAAAGCAGGCGAGGCAGCACATGTAGCTTCTGTCTACTAAGCAGAGCAGCGCATCACTCCTTGTCTTGACACGTCATAAAAAAACTAAAGGTTCTCGAAAAGCCGCACGTTTACCGTGTGGTGCAAAGAGCAGTCGGGCGCAGCTCAGGAGGAACAAACAGGAAATAACAAATAAATCCAACAAAAAGTGCAGTTCCTGAGCGGGCCAGGCGCTCTCTTGGAGTCTGGGCTGAGACGTTTAGATGTTGGGGAGGTGGTAGTTGAACCTGCGCAGGTTGTTGTACTTTTTATTGTCCGGAGCTGGGAAGATGCTGCTGCCCGTCAGCTGTGGCAAATACTGGAGACACACAAAAACAAGATTTTAAGACGAAGACGTTCATTAAAATCCTGCCAAGCTCAACGTATCTGCACAGAATTATATTTTAGAAACACGTTTTTATTCATCTGACTAATTTATAGATTATTTTAGAAACTGTTGCTTTCAGGGAAATCTGTCGACCTTAAAGGGACAGTCCGCAGAATTTAGCTCAGGGCCATTCAAATGTGGGCCTGTGGGTGACTTCAGCCCACCTATGAGTTCATAGAAATTTACTTGTTGGGTTTGGGTTCTGTTTATTTCATTTATGATTCAATGCAACAAAATAAATTAAAAAGGTGACGTCATTGTAATCTTGGTTTAATTACATAATGGCTTTAATCGCTGGATGTCCGGCCCCTGAGCTGCTGGACTTCAGAAACTGTGGCCCCTGAGCAGTTTTATTGAATAGCCCTGCTTTAGCTTATGTTACACATCTGTCAGGCCAGATGTTTGATCCAGGAGTAAATGGAAGCCTCACATTCTGAGAGGAATGCATCTCGTCTGCTGCCGTTCATGCTAAAGTTTGAAACTAAACTCTTAAGAAAATAAAGTGTCAGAACCTCAAACAACAACAAGAATAATAATGGTAATAATAACAATAGTAATAATAATAATAATAGTCATAACAATAGTAATAATGATAATAATAA